CGCCGTCGCGGTCCACGTGCGCTCAGCAACTCCCCCGACACCTGCGTTTGGAGCTGGCGACCTGCGCCTCCTCTCTTTCTTTTTCCTTGTCTTCCTCTTCTCCTCCTAAGAGGCGAAGCTACGTTCTCGGGGTCCCCGGCGCAGAATGTCCAAATGGGTCCCCTCATTGCCGTTGCCCTTGACTTCGTGACCACATGTGCCACGCACCGACTGCACTAGTCTAGTTAAGCCCTTGCTCTTCCTACTCTCCTTCTTCTGACGCTCCCTTCGTGAGCAATCACAAAGTGAAAAAGACTCTCACACTTAACGTAGCAAAAGTAGAGTACTTAAGAATTTTAAAATACTATTTGCCTCGAATGATCATTGAACTATTTAGTTTCATCATATATTTAGGTTTTTACTTGCATACTCCGTCAATTTTTTCAAACTCAAAAATAAATGAATGATATGTCAAATGAACAAATGGGCGGAAGAACAGCACCCATTATGCCACACCTTACTTTTGGGAAATAAATTAAGCTATTTACTTCCCAAAACATAATATTTATGGGAAAACGTAACATTGCAAATGTGTAGGTAAGGGGCCGTCCATAAATTTGGAGTGATTTGAATTATACATTTCCCGCCAGTAAAGCACTCGTAACGCACGCTTGAACACCCCTAAATAATTATGTAACGCCTGTGACTACTCCTCCATGTAAATGCAAGAAGTGAAAATAAATTATAGCACAGTAAAAACAATTTGTATTCATTTTATTTGTGTTGTATATTAAAAATTTATGATAACTTAAGTCGGAATTAGTTGGCGATGCTCACAGCACCCAACAATAAGATTGGGGGCACGTTGTGAGTGAAGAAAGGTCGCATAGATGAGAAAAATTTGTATCACAAGCCGTGTGCCGTCTTGAATGACTCATGTGCGAGAGTCTACAGCACCAATGTAAGTGGATTGTAGAATATATTACATATTAGTTTTGAATATTTTCTTCGTAATCTTGCAGATTCAATAAAAAAATTGAAGAAAAAAATTTCTGTTTATTGTAATAATTTACTTCTCATACCTTTAATTCATCTATTTAAAAAAATTAATTAGTTAATATTTTAATGTTTTAATATAAAACTAAAACTTATTTCATAGCCATGTAATGTTGGAAAATGTAAAAATAAATATCAATGTTACTTAACAATGTAAGAATACTCCTTACCCCTCTATATCGCAGCATTTCACTGTCTCAACCCCCCCCCTCTTTAGCGTTATGTAATTTCTGATAAAACATAGATATTGTTCATTTTTGGCTCCATGGTGATGAAAGACCATTATCTCATTTGTTTTACATGTGCAAAGTCAATTTAAGGAGAGGAAAAGTGAAACGTTAGAAAGCTTTGAAGTAGATACGAACACTGTGATTCAAGATCTTCAGATTCAAAAGGTTTCTTAGTTATCATTCATTTTTTTTTTTTTTTTTTTTTTTTTTTTTTTTTTTTTTTTTTTTTTTTTTTTTTTTTTTTTTTTGGTTTTTAGGATTTCGTTTTTCTTTCTTTGTAACTTAAACCTTCAACTTTACCAGTCTCTATCGCAACTCAAAGTTCCAACAGACAAGAAATATTTTTCTTTAAAAAATGAGAAAAAACTTTTAAACTACTAAAACTACTTTAGTTGCCAACGTAAGGCTGCTCTGACAAACCAAAGTGTAATAAACTTGTTTGCATTTATTTGTGTAAATAAAACATTGAAAATGTTCCGATTTGACATCGATTCATTACTCCACTATCTCAGAGTAGTGTGCCAATCTACCCAATGCTAATGCCAACCTTGTTCCTGGTGAAAAAAACAAAACAAGACAAGTAGGGTTGATGGCATAACAAGTCTAGATGCGTTTAACGGTTCTAAAAGTTCTATAATCAAACATTCTCAAATAAAATTTCCAAAAGGTAGTCTAATAAATGTACTTTCCATTAATACATTCAAAATTTAGAAAACTAAAACGGAGTAAACAAACAAAAACTACCAAATACGAGTGCCAATCTGCCCCGGTTTCGCCCTCTGTAGGAAGTCAGTTCCCGTTTAATGATGATTGTCAAAGGTGGCTCAGGGCATCAACTGATGTCACTGCAGTTCCTCTGACTGGGACGTCCTAGGTTCGAGATCCGACGGTTGCAGGATTTTCGACTCTAGCTTGTCAGGTAGGTTGAATTCACTCGTCTGGCGGAGAATTCTAGTGGCCGGCTGCTCTGTTCGGTAGTTTTCTATGACTTCTCCGATCACCACTATTCGAATGGCGGAGCTGTACCCTAACAAACGGGCTAAGGAACACGCGCGATCTTTCCTTCATCTTTCTTATCCTATCATCACCCCTTACACACACATACTTTCCTGCACTACATCACATTAAATGCCAGGAGACAAGTCAGGAGCTTAGAGCTTGTCCCCGCTGATGCGGTGCGTCGCTGGTGGGAGATACCTGACTGGGAAAAGCCCCACAAGACGATGGATAGGTCGCCGCCGGATCACACCAGCTTGCGGGGGAAAATCACCGCCATTACCAATGATGAAAACATGCACTACAATTACGAGAATAATAACGGCTGCCGTTGTCGCGCCCGGAATCATCAGTCAATAATTTACTGATTATGTGGCAAGGAATGAAACTCTGCTGGACAGGTAACTAGGTTGACCTGGGAAGTACATTGAATAAAATAATAATATTTGTAGCACACTGTGAGCATGATCGTGTGTAATGAATCGAATGCAACAGAACTGGAGGGAAAATGTAGAAAATTAGTTCTTCGCCGTTACACACATTGTCGTATAGCAATGAGTAAACGTGATTATGATTGTTAAACATGTCAAAATTTGACCGCCGAAGAAAAAATGTTTTGCGCCTCAGTAGTCGGAGCGGAGACCACAGTATGTGCCCTCAACTATGTAGCTGTCTCAGCACTCGGTACCGGTCACCGCCCGTCATTCGCTTCTGCCTCCGCCTCCTTTACCGCCTTACCCACGAACTCGCCGCCGTTGCTCTCTCGTCCGTACGAACAGCTGCTCACACATCACACAGTTCGCTTCTTATTTACACTTCTAATCATTTGCTTACACTGATTTAATGAAGTTAAAAATGTATTTTCCCAATTCCTTAAAAAAATCAACACTTTAATATGAATCTACAGAGAAAGAAGGAAATGTTTTGCTGTTTCCTAATTATTACATTATTTCGATGAATCTTTTATCACACGTTTAAATTACACACGTTCACAGTTAAACACACCGTTTTACTGTTTTTGACGTTAAGTAAATATATAAAAAATAAATCGTCTTCCTTAGAGTTGAACCACGTGCACTGCGGTGACAAGTTCCTCAGTCTCTGATAGCATTACAGTAAAGTTCTATTGTTTATTGAACCTCATGAATATATTATTACCTGGTTTAACAGTAGCGAATTCTGTCAGAATGAGATGGTACCCTCTCAATTATTCCGTTTTAGCCTTTTTACTTTCTCGCCATACTTCGTGAGAGAAGTAGTCGTGACTCCGATATCGACGATTTATTATATTATATTAATATTATATTTATTACTTATATTACTATTATTGCTGGGCCTTGGATCCTATATGTAGCAAATTGCGTACTCTAAAACGTTGCGTAGTCAGAATCCATGTTTTGAGGGTTCGCAAATCGATTGACGGCAAAACGTCCACCCGTCTGTCTGTCCACCTGTCCGCCTATGGTAACATTAGCGCCTAAACCGTTCAGACGATTTTTCCAAAATTGATAATCTCACATCAATCTAACAGACTCGAGGCCCTGCGAGTTTGAAACGAATACCATTTGGATAATGTGAACATTAGCCCCTAAATCGCAAAATAGGCAGTTTCGAATCTTAGCTGTAACGAATACAAGAGTTGTTAAGTGTCCTCACAGGTAACAGGCAGGAGTGTTTCTTTTCGATCCGGCGGAGCATGCGCATCTAATTCCGCGACTTCCATCTCCTGCAGCAAGTTCTGCAGGGTGATTGTGACTTCTGCCTAAGTGATTGCAATCTCTGCCCAAGTGATCGTGACGTAAGAATGGACTGAACTTTGTATTACTAACAAAAATGTAATGTATTTCTCCCTTAAAACTAGAAATATTAAGGATCATTATTTCCGTTTTTATAATATATTTATTATTAATTGATCATTCTGTGCAAATAAACGGGTAGGATTTTGTCTGTGAAATTAATCCTTTAACTTGATACATCCATCTGAATGGCATATCTGCGTCTCACAAACAATGGCGTCTTCTGGGCACTTCGTCAATGCCATTAGGTGTAGTTATTATCGAAGCACGTCCGAAGCAAAGATAGGCATTATGGGCAGTCGCTGACCCGCGCGAAGGTCGCGACTGTGGGGGCAGCTGTTGGTGCTGCCTCATGTTGCAGGACGGGCCAGAGGCACGCGCGCCCGCTCCGTCGCAGGGCAGGTAGCGCTGGGCGAGACACGAGACACGCACGAGTGGCACACGGCAAACGCCGCCGACGCGTCGCCGACCATAAAACGCAGTAGCGACAGGAGGCGACGGAGCTCCGCATCCCTTGGCAGGCACGCAGCGCCAGTCATTCGTTTGCCTCGAACCAGGCCAACTCCTGCACAAGGAGAATCGTAAATCTAAAAGTACTGTGTTGGGATTCAACTGGTCACTTTAACACGCTCCTGGTGGTACAAGAGCATATACGTTCTTGTATTATTTGTAGCGGGGTAGCAACATTATTATATAACAGTTGAACCTGTAAATGTGTTTCCAACCCGAAAAATGATTAGCGGGAGCTGGGATTCGAACTTAAGCGCACATAATACGCAGTCGTTTTATCTGTCGCATCACCAGATGCATCAACCAAAACGATCACCTATCCCATGGGATACGTTTTGGTTGAAATGCATTTCAACCGTGCTCAAATCCCAGATTCCCGTACAAGAATTAAAAACAGGTTCCCAATTCAAGGTTTTTTGAACATACAGACCAAGTTGGAGAATAAGTAAGACGCTTTATGAGCTAGCATACCCTTGAATAGTTAGTGTTAGAATTAAATTAATAAGATTAATTTAAGTCGCCACAAACCACATATGTAAAAGTACTATAGTACTGATCTATGTAACTTGCAATGCCAATAAGAAGAAAATGAAACATCACCAGAGTTGGTCAAGTAAACAAACGCTCCGGACGCATCGAATTTCGATATATCAGAGGTTCTAATGAAACTCAGACCGAAACCACCAGAGAATTTGTCCCGATTTGAGAAAAAAAATTAAAGACAAAATATGGGGTCAAATTTGAGAAAATCGTATTTACGTTTTTTTAATTGTCGCGATTACACTCAAAATTACGTATAACTACCCAAAACTACTAAAATCCTAAATAAATTGTATCTAATATTTAAAGATCTAATTGTAAAGAATATTAAGAAAAAAACTTTTACCTGTAATATGATTGTAATTGGCGATCGGTGCGGATCAACAAAACTTATCCAGGAAAAAATCTAGAATTAGTGATTGTTGGCGCGTTAACTTTCAAGGCCATTGGTCCCGTAAGTGTAGTGCATGTTTTCCTCGGGAGGTTGCTGTGATCGTTCTAGCTGGATGGTGAGATCCGGCTCCGACCCAGCTGCGACAAGATCTAAGCTACCGACGAGTCTCCCGACATGTGCGGTAGTGTCGTGCATGGTAGTGAGTGTGAAAGGAAGAGGTGAGGATAGGACAAGGAAGGGCAAGGAAAGATCGCGCGCGGTTCGTGGCCCGTTTGTTAGGGTACTGCTCCGGCATTCACCTGGCACTGATCGGAGAAAACACAGAAAACTACAGATCAGAGCAGTGGGGACGTGGAGACTCGAACCTAGTACTTCCCGGTCAGATGCTCTGCATTGACACCAGTTGCCTTGAGCCACCTCTGCTGGCGCCATTTTTTAGAGACAGTTGATGTCCCTGAAGGATTCTTGTAAATTACCCAAAAAATTTAGGATTATGCCTATCTTTTTATTCTTCAGTTGTCTGCAACAGCTCTGCCCATACGGGTTTTCTTGATTTAAGAAGTATTTTGCTGTGGACATCTTGCTTGAAGGTAGTGTGGTTGAACGAAATTTGGGGGCTATTAGCCGCATAGCTATTTTACTTACTCCCATCTACTTCGTAGTGGTGGCAGTCCTAGAAAGTAATGTAGGAAAGTAACGTAATTCTGCTGGCAAAAGTGCCCTTTTTGTCAGGAAAAACACTTTTTTATTGGTCCCTGATACTGAAGAAATGGGGTTTTCTTCCTTGTGTATTATTTAACTAATCAAATGAATGAATTACATTTACGTAATTAAATGTATTTAATTAATTAAATAAATTTTCGAAATACGCAGCGTGGTCGGAATTCACGTTCTGTGAGTCCTTGGTACCAAAAGTGTGTTTTTCTCAAAATATCTCTCCGTCTGTTTTTCTCTGTGAACAATACTAGTGGTAAAACTGTACACAGGAGTTTCACCAAAATTTATATTTCCCGATCGATCAGGCTGATGTTCCCGACTCTTGAAT